TATATACCAAATGGTACTTTATTCGATATACAATATGAATATGGTAAATTGTCCGGATACTTATCTACTGATGTAGTAAATGTAAGTCATCGTCAATAAACAATACGATTTAGTTTCAATCTATAAAAATTTCCTTAAAAATATATAAATTTTTTGTAGATTGCTGGTCTTAATATTATGAATCAAACATTCGGGGAAGCGATAACTGAACCAGGAATAGCTTTTCTCTATGCAAAATTCGATGGTATCTTGGGAATGGGTTACCCCAATATATCTGTTTTAGGAGTGACTCCTGTTTTTACCAACATGGTTCAACAAGGCCTGGTGTCGTCACCAGTTTTTAGTTTTTATTTAAATCGGTATATATCTCTCCATATGTGTTACGCGTCTAAAAATATATTTTTATTTAAATAATTTGTCTTCTCATATAACAAAATTTGTCTTCCCACGTTAAAAGTATTGTTTTTTTATATTAAAAAATATATAATATATGCAGAACTTCCTCGTTTACGATGGGTAATGATCTGACATTGGATAACTCCATTCATTACGACAGCGAGTATGTTAATAATGTTAATATAATTCGAACATGCCAAGCGTGTCTGAAAATACTTTTTTAGTTGAATATTTTGCTTTCCAATACATACTATTATACATAATTTATCTTTCTGTATTAATAATATTATGTTTTTTTATTAAAAAGTATATATAATCTGTACAGAAATTCCTTGGATCCAACGGCTGGTAGTGTACTAATATTGGGGGGCTCCGATCCCGCTCTTTATGACGGCGAGTTAACATATGTTAATATTACTCACAAATAATACTGGCAATTTACTATGGATAAGTATGTTATTATTTTTTAAATTATACATATATCATTTGCGGATTATATATGAGATAATTATTAATATCGCACTATAGGATTCAAATAGAAAATAAAACCTTATGTGCAAATGGTTGTCAAGCTATCGTCGACACGGGCTTTTCCCGATTAGCTGGACCACCAACGGACATTGCAATTATTACTAGCCGGATTGCAATTGATGAATTTAACGGAGTAGTATATGTAAATAACATATGATATTTTTCGCAATGGCAACTTTCTTTTAAAAATACTAAATAAATTACTGAAATAAATTAATAAAAGTTTGATATGTTATTGGTTATATTAATATGGATTACTAAGTACTAAACTTTGTTCAAAGGTGGATTGTGACCAGATTTCTAATTTGCCCAATGTTACTTTCTTCTTAAGTGGTAAACCATTCGTACTCATTGCAGAAGATTACGTCATTGTGAGAACGGTGAATATCGTCAAATGAATGTTTAAGGCTTCTGATTACTCACTACGGATCTTCAAATTAATGAAGTCAGAAGCGAGAAAATACATTAAGAAAATTCTAAAATATATTAAAACAGAAATATTTATCAAGAAAATAATATTCGAATACAACTATATTTGATAGAATGCATTTGTAAAATATACCGAAAACTCTCCTCTTATTTCGCAATAGAATAAAATTATATTTATCTCAATTTGACAGCTGTCATTCGTTTCGTTTTTTGATAGGCATAATTTAGTTTCAAATATATGATTATTTAGTGATTATCAGAATACAAGGGAAATTTTTTATATATTTTACAAATTTATTCCATCGATTATAAATGTTTTATTAAAAATACATATTAATATAATTTTCAAGAATTCTTTATGTATTTTTCCCGCTTCTAATGTTACAATCCATTGGCTGTTGTGTATAGTCAGGAGCTATAAATTGTTTTAGAATAGAAACATTACACGATATTCAATTTATTATAGATCGATGATGAGGGTACACCAGTATGTTATAGCGCCTTCGAAATTGCGGCTCAGAGTGAATTTGGTACGTTGTGGATTTTGGGCGATTCATTTCTTGGTCGGTATTATACCGAGTTCGACATGGGGAATGATCGCGTGGGATTCGCTCCCGCAAAACAAATAGTGTCATCCCAATAGAATACTTTTAAATGCTAGCTAGAGTATATAAATGACAATAATATAATACATAAATATTAAAAACAACTAAGTTAAATTTTTTTAGGACATTGATTCTTTATTCTTATACTTATTATGTTGTAATTTTTATTTGTAATTAAGCAGTATGTTGTTATATAAATACTTATGTAATATTTTAAAAAATTAGGACGAAGAAATGTTCGATATCATTTTTATCAATTTTGATAAAATTTATTTTGAACAGCTTATTTTTTTAGTATAAAATATATTGTTATATGATATTACGAATATGATTAAAATTATTAAAATAAAGTATATACATTCTCTTTATGTATTATATATTGATTTTTTATATCGACCCTTCAATTTTATTTAATATATCATTCTAAAAAAATATTATTTCATATATTATAAATTTTCTTTTTTCACACATGAATGCCATAATCGTTCAAGGCGGTTTTTCGTGTCTAATAATATTTCCTAATAATATATGAATTTATACAATTTTTAGTTCGAGTAAGTTTCTTTTTTTACACACGTATTGTTTTAAATTTAGTATTTTTTTTAAGAGTAAAAATATGTGTCAAGTACAAACATGTGAAATATTAATAAGATTGGAAATAATAAGGTTGGAAATATATCAAATATTATATCTTCCGAATATTTTTTTTATATCCAAATATTATATCTTAAAACCAGAAACGTATTTATTTCCTTAATAAACGTTTTAAATATAATTATTCAAAAATTGATAAAAAGAATACAAAATCAATGTAATTGGCAAAGTATCTTATTACTAAAAAAATATTTTGAAGGAACGTATCTATAGAAAATTCATTAAGTCTAAGGCATGTAAAATGAATTTAAAAGTTACTAAATAAATGATTAATTAAACTATAATAAAGAAAAAACTTGGCATGTGCGTAATGCAATTAACGCATTAACTGTATTTCAATAAATATATTTAAATTTTTTTATTAATTCGTGTTAAAAATAATATATAATATATGCAAAATAGGCGTATATAAAAAACGTACACTGAGAGAAAACAAAATAGTTCCAGTAACTATAAATTCAACTTTTGCAATTGAAGTACCTGTAACTAGTTTTACAAAGTAATAGAAACTAAAGTAGTGCTGAATATTATAAAAATATAGTCACGGTAACAAATTGTATGCACTATTAATTGGTAGTGAAGTAGTGACTCAACTACATTGAGTAGTTACTTGGACTTCATGCAAATAGATATAACAATTACATTTTTCTAGTTTAGACAAAAATTTTTAAAGGGTCACTCAGTACGAGTAGTACGCGGCTTTGTCACCAGAGGGACGTAGCGGAGTTCAGTTTCTCCTCTAAGAAGGAAACCACTCGCTTATAATAAAAGGCGCAGCGTTGGTTTCAAACTTGGAAGACATAAATAAATAAGAAATGCATACACAAATTTGTAACTACGTATTATAAAGCTTTAATAACAACAATAAGTAAATTAAGTGAACTAAGAAAATATAGTAATATTAACCATTTATAAATTGTTTATATGGTTAATGTACTATATTTTCTTAGTTCACTTAATCTAGTATTCTTATTAGAATTTAATAATATGTATATAGTTGAGGCGCTATTTCACTATAAATTTATAGTTACTGATACGACTTTTTTCTCTGAGTGCAATGTTTAAAAGTTTGATTAGAGATTAAATTAAACTCTTGTGAAGCATAATATACATTTACTATTTTTTTTCTTCCTCTTTTTGTTCTATGTATCATTCTTTATCTCTTTCTCTGTCTTTTTCTCTCTTTCAGGGATTGTTAAAACATGGCAGATTAATCAAAAGTAACTGTTTTGTGTCCAAAATCTTGTCAAAGGGTCTCTAGATTAAATTATTAGGATCACTTTTAGAATACTTTGCGCGCTCCATCGTCCTTTATTTTTTCTTATAACACAAGTACATACAGTCAGAAGTAATGAGGTTGCGATACTTTTTTTTCCGATGAGTTTAAGAATACGCGATCAAGTTCAGGATGCGAATCCCTCTCGTGTGCAATGAATGAATATGATCGTATGAGGTTTGTCAAATGTGTCTATACAATGTGTAGTATAAATTTAAATGTTACGTGTCGCGCGAAATTCACGAAATATAATGTCAGAGCACATTATATAAGCAATATAATAATTTTAATAATTTAATATATAATATATATTAATATATAATATATATTAAACATATTTAACATATTTTATGAATTTTTTTCGCGCGACACGTAACATTTAAATTTATGCTACACATTGTATAGACACATTTGACAAATCTCATAGATTATATTCATTCATTGCACATGAGAGGGATTTGCATCCTGAATTTGATAGCGTATTCTTAAATTCATCGGAAAAAAAGTATCATAACTTCATTGCTTCTGACCGTACATATATGAGCTCGTATATAAATATAGCGCCGAGACACTACCGTGTCTCCAGATCAATGCAAGCGCTAATGATCAACTACGTCCTTTTTCTGTTGTACAATTTGAGTGTGAATAAATTCGAAAGAGAATTACAACGTTTCTAAATAAATACTTTGAAAAATATAGAAGATATATGGAAAAAAATTCAGACAAAAGTGACACGATTTCGAAGGGAACGTATTATGGTCATGTTATTAATTAAGTAAATTATAACAATAATTAAAAACTAACTAATTGATTAGTGATACAATAAAACCATGATACGTTTCGATTGTACCGTTATCTGTTATCAGATTGAAGAAAACTTATTGTGAACAATTAGGATCGCTTTTGGAACGCTTCGCGCGCTCTATCGTCCTTTTCACTCTTTTATAAATACAAGCATATACATATAAACTCGTACATTAACAGGATTGGGAGCACATTAACGATTGACTACGTTCTTTTCCGTCTTGTGGACAAATTCGAAAGTGAATTATAACGCTCCTAAGATCTCCTTGATTCTTGTGGCTTAATCGTCAGGAAATTTGGGAAATATGTTTCAAATTTTCGTGGCGGTTGCAATACTTTCCGTGCTCATCAACGCAGAAGAGAGCAGGTAAGCATATATATATATATATATAAACGTGATAAATACAATGATGATTAGAACAAATTTGTAGAAAAATGTATTTTGAATGTCAAAATAAAGCAAATAAAAAATACTTTTGAGATTCTTAAATTAAGGTTTGCACTTCAGTCTTTCTTATCATGTGTTAAATGAAATACTTATAAGGGTCAGGAAAAAAGAAATTCTGTTTTAATATAATTATATTTATCATAATACATTTATAATAATAAAGGGCATAGACTACTACGCAAAGTCTTAGAAGCGAATAATATCTTTGATATCAAAGATATACTTTATCTTATTGTTTGAAATTAATAAATCTTTATTATTCGTTTCTAAGACTTTGAGTAATGGTGTATGCCCTTTATAATATTATTTTGAAATTGAGCCATTAAACTTGTTTATTGTACATTTATCATGTAATACGTAAAAATAGATAAATGAAAAGAAGCATTTATTTCTTAATATTAAAATGTTAAGACTTTAATAGTTTTTAAAAAATAAGAAGTGTTTTAAGATAATTAATCAATTTATTTGAAATTCGCGCGTGTATGTCCTTGTATGATATTCGTATATTCGTACTATGTATGCGTATCTGTGATACATTAATACATATAATTAAATTTTTTTGCTTTAAGAATTTCTATGGCTTCAAGAATTCCATTGTATAGGACAATCAGGATTGTTCAGCTAAGAGTATTGGTACTGCAGGGGAATATCTATTGCATGAACAATGCATACTATGGTGTTATCACAGTTGGAATAACGCATACTATGGTGTTGTCGCAATTGGAACCCCACCGAAAGAATTTAATGTACTTTTAGATACTATTTCCGCAGATTTCTGGGTACCATCCAAAATTTGTGATCAATATCCTTGTTGTAAGTATATCATCTCTATTTCGATATTCTATTATAGGAGTACTTTAATATTTAATATATTTAATATTGAATTATACTTAATAATATTATTATTGCAATAATAGTATTAATTTTAATTGTTTTCTTTAATTTTAATGATTGTCAAGTATGTGTGTGTGATTGATGTAAAAATGTAGAAAAGGCTAAGAATGATGCTGTAAAATTTTCACATTTCAAATAAAACTGTTAAAACAGTTTAAAATTTAAATGTTTTGAAGTTTCGAAGGTTGAACATACCGAGTAGATAAATATACATATGAAATTAAGTTTTATATTCACATGTGATTTATTTTATTTATTATGCTTATTTTAAGGGTCACAAATGATCTTTAGCACAAGATACAATTTTAAAGACAAAAATATAGATATAAATACATTTAATGTATTTAAACAACTGTTAATTATACATACGTTTATTAAAGAATAGATATATTAATTAAATTAATAAAAACAAATTTATTTCTAAAATTGTTAATATTAATTGACTAGTATTTTAATGTCCTATCTTTTATAGTCTCACTCTCGTATAATAGATATAATCATGATGAATCCAGCACATTCATGCTAAATGATAAGACATTCATTATTGAATACGAAAATGGGCATAATGTGAAGGGATATTTATCTACTGACATAGTGAATGTGAGTCATTGTTCAAGCAAACAAGTTTTATTTAGCTCCAATTTTATAATCTATACAAATTTCGTGAAACACATCAATTTTTATAGATTGCTGGCATTAATGTTCAAAATCAAACGTTCGGGGAAGCGACAGACGAATGGGGATTCGGCTCTGCGAAATTTGACGGTATTTTGGGAATGGGATACTCCCCGGTATCTGAAGAAGTGACTCCTTTTTTTGCCAATATGGTGAAACAAGGCCTGTTGACACAACCTGTTTTTAGTATCTTTTTAGATCGGTACGTATCCTTCTGTATGCGTTGCGTGTCTAAAAATATTTTTCATTTAAATAGCTTATCTTCCCATATTAGAATATTTGTCTTTCCAAATTAAAAATAATGTTTTTTTATATTATTAAAAAATATATATAATCTCTACAGAAATTCTCCGCCCGAATTGAGTAGCGAACTGATAATTGGAAATTCCGATTCCACTCTTTATATAGGCGAGCTCATATATGTTAATGTTACTAAAAAAGGATTCTGGCAATTTACCGTGGATAAGTATGTGATTATTTTTTAAATTACATGTATGTCAGCTATAAATTATGTGCCAGCTAACCAGCTAACTTATCGCATTGTAGGGTTAAAATAGGAGGTATAACTTTCTGTAAGAATGGTTGTCCAGCTATTATCGACATAGCCACCACCAAGATAATGGGATCATTATCAAATATCGCAACTATTAACAGATTAATCGGGACTACTTTTACTGGGAAAGAAATGATTGTAAATAATAACACTTAACGCAATAGCAACTTTCCTTCAACAACATTAGATAAATTATTAAAATATATTAACAAATGTTTTCTATATTACTGATTACACTAATAAATGGTTTACTAATATTAAGTTTTGTTTAAAGGTGGATTGCGATAAGATTCCTTCTTTGCCCGATATCTGTTTCGTCTTAAATGGCACTTCATTAAAACTCACTAGCCAAGATTATATTATCAAGGTAAATATCGATAAATGACGTTTTAAGTTATTTGAGAATAGAAATATCATGTTGCGTTCAATTCATTATAGTTCGAACAAAATAATCAGAAAAAGTGTATAAGCGTTTTTGAAGAGGCGGATCCGAGCATATATAAGGAATCGATGTGGATTTTGGGTAATGCATTTCTTTATCGGTACTATATCGAATTTGACATGGGAAACAATCGGATTGGATTCGCCAATACAGACGTTCATATTTTTTCTACAAATGAATGTTGAAAGATTTAAATGATAACAATAAGCGAATAATTAAGACAAATTTTATAGAACATTGATTCCTGCTTATTACCTTATGATTTGTGATTATATGTGGTACATTCTTAAATAAATACGTACATGTATTTTTAAAAATTAAAGAAAAGTGTGTAATACTATTTTTATCAATGATTTGGTACAATATATTCTTTTAGCATAATATCCTATTGAAACATAACGTTATGAGTGTAACGAAATTTGTTATAATAAAATATACATTCTTATCAGACATTATATGTAGATTTCATATATATACCGCGCGACCCTTCAATTTTATTTAAATCATAAAAGGTATTTTTTATATTAAATACTTATTTTTATACTAATATTTTTTTTTTGATGTTTTTATTATTAATATTATAATTTGTACTTTAAATGTATTAAAAAAATTTACACCAACTAAATACTATTGTATATAATGCTATATAAAATACGACGAAAGAAGATAATAAAATAATTATTTCGATGCATGTAAAAAGTAATATTTTAGAGCACTTATTGTTTGTAAGTTGCAGAAACTGATCTTAATATGATGTTAATATACAGTGCCACTTCTCCATAATAATAAAAGAAAATAGTTAGAACAGTAGTTAAACATTCTGCAGGAAGTGCAGTTTACGCAGAATTATCTTTTCCGCTAGAATTAATTTATGAAAGAAAGGCTTGATTAAAGAATTCATTAATCCTACATAAAATCAATTTCTTAATTCCAAACTAACATTTTCAGAATTTTATTGTTAATTCTAGCTTTCTGTTTCTTTTTCATACTCTTTTTGATTTTCATCTAGTTACCAGATCTAGAAGCAGCTCGACCAATTATTAATTTTTTTGTGAAGACTATTATGGCGCAAGTAAGTACCAATCGCATTATGAGAAAATAAAATTGAAGTTGTTTTAACAACATCGCCATTTTTCGCTGCTTTCTTATCTTGTATCTTATCTCTGTAAGAAAGTTGGCTGGGGATTTAAGAGTTAAATCGGTTTGCGTCATTTTTTTAATTCTTCCTTTTGATAAAATAAACCAATCTTTACAGGTGACGTACGATTGTACGTCAAATTGATCAGTGTATTCTTGGTTTAATACAATTTTGATCTTTGTTGTATAATTGGTATTGATTCCCTAAGCACGCAATGTTCTTTAAATTTTCAAAGAGTTCATTGTATATTGCAAATCTAAGTATGTAAAAAATGACTTTAACATATGTATGTAATTTAATTTTCCGTCATTCATAAAAATGACACTGTATTACACATTTAAATATGTAAATCTATTTTTGCATTCAATATAATGTATTATTTTTAACGAAAAACTAATCACACACATGTATTGAAGTCACTTTATACACATTTGTAATATACTCTTCGTACGTGACTGCTATGTAATACGATTTTAGTACGAGATAGTTTAACATTCGTTTTAGCTATATAAGAACATTATAACAAAACAATAGTTTCTGAGATATTTTAATTGAAAATATATTTTCGATTAAAATAACTCAGAAACTATTGTTTCGTTATAATGTTCTTAACATAAGAATTCCGAATAAAGCTGTTAAGCCCAATCTATATAAGACGCAGAACGCGAATCGCAGGTCACAAGCTTCTTGCATTAGCCAATCTCGAAGCGTTACTTTCAAAATTGACGTATCGGATTGCTTTAGAACTCTTTGAGCGCTCTCTCGGTTGTCCTTCTTGCCCTCTTGTAAACACGTACTTCAGCTATATAAACCGAATGTTGTGGACAGATTCTGTTTGTGAAAAGAGATTACCACGTTTCAAGAATCTTCTTGATTATTGTAGCTCAATCAGGAAATTAGAGAAACATGTATCAAATTTTTGTGGTGGTAACGATATTTTTTGTGTTGATCAACGCGGAATTGCAAAGGTGAGCATATATAAATGTTAATTTGCGATAAATACTTCAATAATAATTAAAATAAATAGAAAAAACATATATAGATTTTGTCAGAGTAAAGAAATGCTTTTGAAGAATTCCTTTAAGAATCATATTCTTATCTTTTTTATATATCATGTCTTAACTAATATTAGCATCACAAAAGAATTTGCATTTAAAATAGCTAAATAGCATATATGATATGTAAATAAATAAACAGATAATATTTCTTTTTTAATACTATAAAATGTTGTAACTGTAACAGTTTTTAAAAGTAAGTAGTATTTGAAAATAATAAATTTGTTTGAAAGTGTACATATGTAACATTCTATGATATTCATATATTATATATTCGTACATTCGAATAAATGTATGTGATATACTACACATATACGTATGATATAATTAAATTTTCTTGATGCTTCAAGAACTCCGCTGTATGAGACAAACTCTACTCAAAGATCGACTGACATCGATCATCGACAGAGTCGTTCGGTTAGGAGTCGTGTTGCTATAAGAATAAAATTGCAAAATGATCACGAAAATTCCTTTTTTGGCTATATCTCAATTGGATCTTTTCCACAATATTTTAAAGTACTTTTCGATACTAGTTCCTCAAATTTCTGGATACTATCTAAAAATTGCAATAGTAATACCGCTGCTTGCAGTAAGTATCTTTACATTGTTATTTATTTCTTTGATATTTTATTATTTGTACTAATATATTTGTATCTATTAATATTATATTTTTACACATGTTCGGAAATGTTGCCCGGGTGTATCATCTTATCCTCGTTTGATATTGAGTGAGCAACAAGGATAAAACGATATATGAAGGCACTCGAATAGCGGTTTTTAACGAACTCCAAGTAAAATTTTTAAAGTGTTTAAAATCTAAAGTTTTTAAGTTTCAAGTGTTAAAGTTTTTCTTATATAAATATTATAGAACTGAGTTTTACAATAACATGCTGTTTATTTGACATATATCACGCTAATTCTAATAAAGATACAAATAATATTTGATATAACTCACGTGTTATAACAAAAGATATAAATAAAATATTTAATATAAAATATTATTAAAAATACATATCACACACACACACACACACACACGCATGCACGCACGCACGCACGCACGCACGCACACGGGGAGGGGAGTGCAATGTTGTATATATATGCAGCAGAAATAAAACGTTATTTGATGTTTTACACACACGCGCGCGCACACACACACACACACACACACACACACATATTAGTATTAAACTGATATACTTTTAAGAATTTCTTTTTATAGCCTCAGAATCACATATTAAATATAATGATAGCAAATCAAAAACATACATATCAAATAGTACTTCATTCGATATTCAATACGATGATGATGTTATCTCCGGATATTTATCTACTGATGTAGTGTATGTGAGTTATCGTCAAGCAAATTCCATTTAACCACAATTTTTTAAATTGTGGTAATAATTTAATATCTATGAAAGTTTTCTTAAAAACACATTATTAATTTTTTGTAGTTCGGTCTTCGTAGCTCAATTGCTGTTCAAAATCAGACATTCGGAGAAGCAATAAGCTATAGACGGCGATTACAGCTTGTTCCAAATTATGAAGGAGTCGTGGGAATGGGTTATTCCACATCAGCTATTACAGGAATTCCCGTTCTTATTAACATGGTTCAACAACGCCTGTTGTTACGACCCATTTTTAGCATCTATATGAAAAGAGAGTATGTACTTTTCGTAAACGCCACGTGCGTCTATATTAATGTCTTCTCAGGAAGTTACCGTTAAATGCTAGGAGATTTAAATGATAAAATTTGTTTACTTAAACAATTTGTCTTTCCACATTGGAAATATTATTTCTTCTATATTAAAAAATATATTGTTTAATATGTTGTTAAGTCCAACCTATGATGTGGCTTCATGATCGATTTTTACCTTTATTATAATATCGACTTTTCCAACGTTTTAATTAGTAGGAATTTCGTGTATTCAATTTATTTCTAAACTTTTAATTTATTTTTTATTGTAGAGTAGAGTGAGGTAGTTATGACACTGTTTAGCTGAAACAACCGCACATAGGTTATTGTATTCAGCGCAACAATTTCCGTCTATGTGCTATATATTACGCAAGCATAGATGTGTATATACGTATTTTAGACTTATTGTTAGATATTTGCATTTCTTAATTTTCCCCTTGACTACATTGAGTATACATGCTCTGCCTTAATTATTTAGCTGAAGAAGACTTAATATAGTTGAAATATTGTATGCATTGTCAATAAATTACTCAATTAATTCTTTGTTGATGTTTTAATAAACTAGGGTTAATCTAATTAATTGCTTAATTTTTTATTTGATTAATTTTATTAAATAATGTAATAATCTTTTTAGATTTTTGGAGACTGAGGTTGGTGAACTGATAATTGGTGATACCGATCCCAATCTTTATGTAGGCAAACTCACGTATGTTAATGTTACACGCAAAGGATACTGGAAATTTACTATGGATACGTAATTATTTTCTAAATTATACTTATGTTAGTCACGGACTATATGCTAGTTAATTGTTAATGCTATCGTATTTTAGAGTTCGACTAGGAAATAATACCTTATGCGCGAATGACTGTCAAGGTATTATTGACTCGAGCAACTTTCGAATATCTGGACCGCTATCGGCTATTGCAGTTATTAATAAATATATCAGAACTATTAGTCTTAACGATTCAGCATTTGTAAGTAATAGATGACACTTCTTGCAGTAGTAATTCTCTTTTAATAATGCTAAATAAACCACTGACATAAATTAATAATAAATATTTGTATATTACTGGTTATATTAATAGATATAGATTGATAATACTAAATTTTGTTTAAAGGTGGACTGCAAAAAGATTTACAAGTTGCCCGATATTTATTTTATCATAGGTGGAAGAATATTCGAACTTACTAGCGAAGACTATATTATTCAAGTAAATATTGTTAAATAGTCCCGAGACACTATCGTGTCTCAAGATAACATTTTAAATTTGCTTTAGAAACATATCATAAAGTATTCAATTCATTACAGTCCACGTTAAGCTATGGCACATCGTGTATGAGCCCTTTCGAGGATAATAACATTTCGGATAAGGATGGTCCAACGTGGGTTTTAGGCAGTCTATTTCTTCGTCGATATTATATTAAATTCGACATGGGAAAAAATAAAATGGGATTCGCCCCTGCAAAATAAATAATTTCTCAAAATGTTACTGTTAAATGATAAAAGATTTAAATGACAATAATTGAATAAAGTTTTTTACAGCATTGATTCTTGATTCTTATGATTGTTATTTTGTAATTCTTATTTGTAATTACCTAAGCGACAGTTAGATAAATACGTATATTGTATATTATGGGGGTGGTGATAGGATTTTTTAATTGAGTAATAGTAATTTTAATTGTATACAAACTTACCTTTTTAAAAAAAAGGTAAAAAAAGCGCTAAGCGTGCGTGCTTCTCGTATGGAAACCACCATTTGGGCCGGTTACACCAACGTCAATTACTTAATCGGCCGTGGAA